GGACGTGGGGCTCGCGTGATGTGCGGGGAATCGTCGGTAGGCAGCAAACGCCTGTGTAAAAGCTGCGTGAGTGTGCGTGCACCTGGCACTAGCGCTGGCTTTCCGGCACCGGCAGCTAACCCCGGTTACAAGGCAGAAACCGGGGTGTGCCTAAATCCCTCTGTTCTGTTGACAAACTTCTAGCCTAAGCTTGCTCCCCTATCTCTGTGCCAGGAAATGGTGTGCCGTCATTTCAGTGCTTATGCCAAAAGCAGCCGATTCTAGCTAATCCTCCTTCCTCTTTTTGGGCAGGAGTGGAGAATAAAAGATGGGAAAGTTAGCTCCTGCGTTTTAAGATCCCTGGTGTTGTTCAGGCTACAGCCTAATCTCCATATGTAAATTTGAGTAAACCTCTTGCAGATGTGAACTCTGCGTCCCGTTAGCTTTGAAGGAACAGAGCAGCAGTGGTGTGGTGCGCCATGCTCAGGCCTCCTTCTCATCCACCGTGTGCCTGCGTAGCTGAGACTGAAGGCAGAGCGCTCCTTTGCATAGTTTCTGTTTGCCTTGTATAGGCTGTGCGTTACCTAAGGAAGCTTTCGGTAAAATACTATTTTTTAGACAACTTATTCCTATAGTGTTGTGAAAGGATTTTGGTAAATCTAAGGACAGGTTATACCTAATACAGCTCAGATATGTATTTCAACCTATTTTTTTTTTTAAGTCTTCCATTTAATGCTAAAAAAGTTACAGTAAATGACTGTGTATAGTGGTTTTTTTCCTATTTTTTGTCTTTTCTTTATCTTTAAAATTTTAGGAAGGATTTCTGCTAGGAGAGGTGAGACAAGAAGAGACCTTTAGCATTAGTGATTCACAGATCAGCAACACTGAATTCCTACAAGTGATTGGTAAGTAATAGAACTTTGAGAAATTCTTAAAGTAGCACTGTTCAGTTTTTCAATTTCCAGTACAACAATTCAGTAAGAATTGCTTCACTTCTGAGACCAGCACAAGGTGTTCTAGTCTTTTCAGAATTGCATTTGCTACAGTATTTGTGTGTTTGTGATTGAGATGTGAGGAAAGGAAGCAGTCATTTGCTCGGTATGAGGGTTTTATGCACCTCCTGTTGGGGAGAAAAGATCGTTCATTGGAGAAATTTATCTGCATTTCATGATGGAGAAATTATTTATTTGGCTTTTGGTCCTGCAGGGAGTTTCCTGCTTGATATGGTTACCTAAACACAAGCATGTGCTCAAAATTAAATAAATACATTGCTTGATTTACTAATACTGAAAGGGGGCAAATTTCCAGTAGAGGGTTAGGCTGGATGGCTGGCAGTTGATGACATCATAAACTGTGACAGCAAGATTTGCCTAGGAATATTTGTCAAACAATTTATGTTCTTGATAAGCAACAAGGACTGTACAGCTGATTTGGTGGTCTTGTGAAAAGTGAAAGAAGACCTAAAATCTTGCTGTTAAGTGGTGTTGGTTGAAGTAGATATTGTTACACATGATTGAGAAGAATGTTTTTAGGTCTATGGTTTATGGAAAACAGGAAACCCTTGAAAGAAAATGCCTTTTTTGTATACATGTATATAACCCAATGTTAAAATACATATAAACCTTCTTTAAAAACCTGAACATGTACGTACCTGGCTTTGTGGATCTGATACTAAATAACATAGCAGCATCTGAATAAAGCTCAGCTAATACACAAGCATCTTGCAATTGACTCTCAAATGTTATTTCCAATATAGACCTAAAGGTCTCTGAAGGTATGTACGACATATGTTACAACTCAAGATACTTGCTGTCTTAAAGCAGTGATGGTTGTGTATACGAGAATCCAGAAGGTTAAGTAGTTTCCTGTTTTGGTTATTCCTGAGGAAACATGGGTGATAAATTGACTGTGTGAAGTGTAACTTAATTACAATTAATCAATTGAGCTAAATATAAAAAAGTGTAGGATTTTTTGTTTGTGTATATAATCACTGTCAAAATACTGCGTAAAGGCAGGCAGCTGATAAATATGCCTGTTCAGGCAAAACTAGACATCACTATTCAGTGGTAACTGATCTTAGTTACTGTTGACAGTGTAACACAGTAATGTCACCAGCTGCAGCCTCAGCATGGTTTCATAAATTAAGTGTTTGTGGTATTAAAAATTATTCCCTTTTTAGATAACTCTCTTTGTCACATTCCTGGTTACAGTTATTTTCTGAAAAGAGAAATTACACACAAACACACCCCCCTAAATTTCTCCCTCCTGCCCCAGATCATCTGGATATTTTTTTGTTTATCAAATCTTTAATATTTATTCATCAACATTAAGTCTTGAACTCCCAGTTCAACTAATGAACTGAGAGAGACACTTTTGTGGCACTGTTGTCACAGACTTTTAACATTCTTACATGTCTGCTGTCTCAAAGCTTAGTGGTGTTGTTTGGGTGTATATGTACTATCTCTCTCTCTCTCTCTCTAAAATAAGTCAGTGTGTAAAGCTCAAATTTAGAATGATGGCTGCTTCACATGTTCTGAGCAGTAGGCTTGTTGCTTCCTGTTTTTCAAAAGACAGGGCCTGTGTAACATGGTAGTAACTTGGGCATTAAGTATGTATTCTCAGTAGTTGTAGTCAATCTGTTTCCTGGAAGGAGTTGGTCTAAACTGGAATAATTAAATTTACTGTCTTTGTTTAGCAAATCATTTCCACAAATTCCTGTATGCCAGTGTAAAAATACGGTCTTGATACACTTTTAAACAATTCCAAATATATTCCAAACAAAGTAACTGTAACAGCAGCATCATGAGGAGTTCTTGACAGTGAAAATGTAGGGTTTCTCAGGCAGTACGCCTGCCGTGAATCAGGGCGTTGTTTTGATAGTGGCTAAATACACTGAGATGCTAATGTGCATAGTCTGTTGTTCTTGGGAATTGTGATCTGATTCTGACTCTGCTGAGGTTGCAATCATGAGCAGACTGTGACGTTCAGAACAGCAGGTGGTGAGTCACTCTCCAGGAAGGAAGAGTCTAAAAGTTGTTGCTAAACACTCCAGTGGGGTTTTGGTATAGGAGCTTGAAATATTATTGCTACCTTAAGTGCTGTTCAGTCTGAGCAGATACGGTTTCAGACAAAAGTTACGTGATCGAGGTATAATAATATGAATAAATGATAAGCTGTATTTGGTAAAAAGTCGGAGTAGAGAAGAACTTTAAAGAAATATTAATGCCACAAAAAAGTAAGTTGTGCTTGGTGTTAGAGAGATAATATGGATTGGATTTTTGCTGTTCTCTGAGATTACTGACATGTTACAACCTTTGCTGCTTAAATAAGCATCTTAGCATTTATTACAGTGTCTTCAATAAAAAAAATACTGCTGTGACTTTTTAATACTTTATATAAAACAGAATTATAAGTTGCAGCTAACCACTTGGGAGCGGCATTTAACCCCTTTTCTCACCATAGATTCTATTTGCCTTGCCTGGTTAAGTACTCCAATGTATAACATTTCAGTGATTTCCTTCCCCATCCCTTTTTTAATTCACTGCTGCGGTAATAAACAGTGTATATGAATGCTAGTAAACTGTTGTGGAAAGGTGTATCAAAAAGGGAAAAAAAGCATAAATGCCTTTGTGAAGGGGGTTACAACCATAAAATAAGAGTGTATTTGAGGCTCAGAAATACCTGTGTGTATCTGAGCAAGTGTATGCCTTGCTTATTGTTAAAATACTTTCCTCTGTAAAATGGCAGATCAGGAAGAGAAGCTACTTTTCTGGGTATGATGCTGTGTCATCAGGTGTTGAGACATTAAGGGCAGCGTGTGGTCTGACACAAATGTTTATATGCTCACTAGCTGTGATGTGGAAAGTTCATGCAAGATATGCCACTCTAATTTCTTTTTACCTTGAGCAGTTGGACTTATGTCTCTCTCTGTTGTTCTTGTTGCAGAAATCCATAACCATGAGCCTTGTTCAAAACTCTTCAGGTAAGCATTTTCTGTTGTCTTTCTGTGTTGGCTGCAGAATATAAAAATAGGTAGCTCACTGAAATATATTAGTATTTCAAATGTACCTACGAATGATTACAGAAATACACATAAATGGCACCAACCATGACAATGAAAGTACGAGTTTACAGTTTTAGTAGCACTTACCTTAACATAAAATGTTAGATTAGAAAGCATGCTGAGGTAGCTAGTACAGGCTTATTTCTCTACCTCTCTGAATTTGCATCTCATGTAGTGGAGGTGGGATAGCGGTCAAATCAAATCATAGCGCTCTGGTAATTAGGATTAATGTCAAAATCAGTATAAATTATTGTAGTCTTAGGTTAGCTGTGCTTGGACCTCGTGGGTCACAGGACATCTTGTGTGCCCCATAACTTTAGTAACCCTTTATCTGGGCTGTTTTGCAATTAATTGTACTGAATTGCACCAACTGATTATTCTGAAACTTTCAGCTTACTAGTAATTTTTGCCTTCTAATATTCTGTACTCCAGAATTTAAATTAAATACGGGTTTAATATATTCTATTTAGCAGCTTCCATCTACTTATACGTAGCTTTTCTCTATAGTCTTCACTTGTTATACAGTGATGGCTTCTAAATTGCTGTCTAGAAATTCTTTTTAGAAGGCATTCCCAATTAATCTCCTCTTGTCTTTATTTAGAGATTCCCAGCCAATTAGGAAGAGACAGTACCTTAGATATTATGATTGATGTTGGTTACATTAGAGAGAAAAGCTGCAGTCTATCATTTGCTATCTGATAATTAGAGAGTACTCTTAACCCAGTGATTTAAATGCTAGAGACTCTACACATCAAGATAATACCCCAGTGTCTAGTAGACTCTTTGTGATTCCTAGTGATGCTTTGTGCAACACATATCAAAACTGATCACACTTACTGCTTCTCCCCAGTCAAGAAATTGGTTGGTAAACTGAGCTGATGGAGGAAGGGGAAGAAGTCTGTATTTCACTGCATGTTTTTTGCACAAGAAAACTAATTAATTTATTTACTTCAGAGTACAGGGGAAACTCTTCCAACTCATACAGCTTTTATCAGTACCAGAGCGTGCTGTTGGTTTCTCTGTTGCATTAGTTGTAGCAGATGCTGATTTTTGGGCATTCTGCCTTGTCCTTTTGACTTCAGCGTAGCCACTCTGCGGAGGCCTATTGCTCATCTACTCTGTATTCTTGTACGCTGGCACTGCTAATGTTGAGTATAACAGGCTTCGTTCCAGTGCTTTTACCAACACAGGGAAACTGAATAAGAAGTAAGGATTTTAAAAGGACTGATTTCTCTATCTGTGCAGTTTTCAAATGAATGTGTTTCGTTACATACTAGTTGCTTATCCCATATGAAAATTATTCTTATCCGCTACTTACAACAATGTATAAATATTGTGAACATGAATTGAAAAGATTATGCAAATATTATGTAGTAGCTCAAATTAGAAATTAGTTTTAATCTTAATATTCACAGTAACTTGCATCTTGAAACAAATGTTATTCTCACCCTTATTTACCAGACAAGTACTGAGCTCAGGATTTTCTGTTGTGCTTTTTTTACCCCTACACACAAGAGCTGAGATCACAGACCTCTAAAACAGAGTGTTTTCCTGCACTGCTTTAGATGTTAGTGATATCAGCTCTTGAAAGAGACTAAGGACTTGGCACGTAAGTCAAGGAGGAATCTATTTTCAAATGTTCTTCATTTTATCATGAAGTGTGATCTAGTCGAATTTATAAAGCTGTGTAGATAGATTTATAAATTCTTAAATCTGTAACATCCTCAAAATACCAACATGCCAGGGTATCATGGTTTAACGCCAGCCAGCGATTAGGCACCACACAGCCGCTCGCTCACTCCCCCCGCAGGGATGGGTCAGAGAATCAGAAGAGTAAAAGTGAGAAAAGTCACGGGCTGAGATAAAGACAGTTTAACAGGTAAAGCAAAAGCCGCACACACAAGCAAAGCAAAACAAGGAATTAATTCACCGCTTCCCACGGGCAGGCAGGTGCTCAGCCATCTCCAGGGAAGCAGGGCTGCATCACGCACAACGGTGACTTGGGAAGACAAATGCCATCACTCTGAATGTCCCCCCTTCCTCTTTCTTCCCCCAGCTTTATATGCTGAGCATGACATCTGTCACATGATATGGGATACCCCTTTGGTCAGTTGGGGTCAGCTGTCCCAGCTGTGTCCCCTCCCACCTTCCTGTGCCCCCCAGCCTGCTCGCTGGTGGGGTGAGCGGCAGAAAAGGCCTTGACTCTGTGTGAGCACTGCTCAGCAATAACGAAAACATCCCTGTGTTATCAACACTGTTTCCAGCAGAAATCCAAAACATTGCCCCATACTAGCTGCTATGGAGAAAATTAACTCTACCGCAGCCAAAACCAGCACACAGGGTTTGGGCCTCAGTTCTGTAAGCTGACCTGTATGGAAAGACCATTATACTTTGGATTCTTGCGGACCTCAATAAAACTGTTTTGGCTTCAAGGGTCCAGTCATGTGAGTCTAACTGCAGGACTGGAGCTCAAGAAATTGATTTGTAGTTGCATGTGAAATGGCCCTGCTTTCCTTTCTTCTTTGGCAGGTCTTCTTTGGCAGGTAGGCCTCTTCTTATCGAGGCAGGGTTTTGCAGAATGCTGGTCAAAATAAAATTATACAGTCCATTTATATATGTACCCCTTGGTGTAGGGGCTGGCAGCGGAATACTAGGCATCAAACTAATATGTACAGTGAAAGCATTTTAAAATTAATAATTACAGGTATCTTGTATTTCATTACTAGTGGTTTAAAAGTGGTTATAGAGGTTTCATACCAGCTAGTCTTATGCATCTAATTTAAATGCTCTGCATCCTCCTCTGTGAACAACTGCCTTTGTCTGTTAGCTGTACAGTCAACCTAGGCTTCTAACTGTCTGTATAGCACACGAGTTGCAATATCTTAAGTAGGTGTTGTGAATACTGACCTATGGTGATAAAAGTAAAACTGTAGAAGTTGCTTTGTAATGTACAGAAAGCCATCTACTTGAAGAACACTCAAAGTATAAATTATTTACTTTATGTATAATGTGTGTGTGTAAACTGTGTACCTACCTTTCTCTCTTCCTTTTTGGTTCAAGCTTTTATGACTATGCAGGCAAGGTTAATGAGGAGAGTTTGGACAGGATTCTTAAAGACCGAAGAAAAGTAAGTTTTCTATCTTTTCCTCCTGTTCTAGTCATTAGAGCCTATAATTAGAGTGGTTTTGGAAAACAAACAAACAAACAAAGGTAGTTAACTAGAAGAAGTATTTTCTTTCACAAATCTGATGGCTTGTTTGGACCCTGTATGGAAGTTGGTGGATTTATGTAACTTAGGTTAAATTGGGGGCAATCTAAATTCCATGAAGAAATGCAAAGTATTTAAGTTTAGGTCTCAAAAAGTGAAGGGCTAGTATTAACCCACTGAAATTTCTGGGTTAAACATGTAGCATAATGATTGTGTACTCTGCTGCTGAAACCAACAAAAATGTAGCTGATCTGAAAATCTATTCTAAAGGGTTCACTTAAGAGTTGCCATGATACAGCCTTGTAATTGCAATTTTTGCCCTGTCAGTTTTAAAGTGGAAAAACTGTTCTGTCAGAAGGTGGTTATATCAGATGCCATAGATGATATTGTGTATATCATGCATATGTTGTTAGTAGCACCATTAGTATTAAGATTAAATTTGAGTAGTTATTTGGAGACGAGTCAAACCTTTTTTCATCTCATTCCATACCTGTACTACACGATCTTTCTAATTGTCAAATAATTGCCTTAGAAGTTCTCGTGATGCGATACATCAAAGAACAGACATGAAGGTGGTGTTCCTCACGTAGTGAAATGAATCCTCCAGTCAGCTTGCTCTGGCAAAAGGACGGGTGACTGACTTGCATGGCAGCTGTGCAGCTTGTTAGACCTAGCAGAAAAGTGACACTGGTACAGGAATTTGGCTGTCAAGGTCTGGTTAGTGCCAGAGCTAGTACAAGGCAGGGCTGGTTAAAACAAGACCTTTTTTCTTGTTTGACTTGCTTTTACAAAACATCAGCAAACCAATGTTGTTCCAGCTTCTTGTAGAACTGCTGATTGCATTTCAGTAGTAGCAGAGCTAACTGTCAGGGCACGACCTGTTCGGCTTTTGGGATTTCTGTCCTCTACAGGTGACTCAAGGGTAACTTTCACTACTCTGAATAAGAATGCCTACTGTGTGAATTGATCATCATTATGCAAAGTGTGTGATGACAGTTGCTCAATTGCTAATTGAATTTGCAGTCTTTACTTTCTGTTCACCTTACCCACCTGAACTGTGGACTTCTGCTTTCAGACAGGGCTTAAGTTGAAGAGGGATCTTTAGTGGAAGCAAGTCTTAAATCTGTGCAACTTCTGCAACACTGATCATTGTAATGTTTTCTTCTTGTCTGCTTCTTCCAACAAATGCTCTCAGAATAAACTCCTCTGTGTATACTAATGTATTTATGCTTAGTGCATAGGTGCTTGTGTGTATATTCATGTATACAGACATCAACGTATTTATGTTGATGATGGAGTGAGTTTCCAGTCTCAGATCCTGAATTCTGTAACCCCGTAACTCTACTGTAGAACACTACAGAGCATATTAAGTTCCCCTTCAGGTGACAAGGCAAAAAACATATTTTAAAAATGTTTGTCTCCTACTAGTTTTGGGTTGAATTTTATTTTGTTAGGGGAGACTCTGGCAAGAAAGCAGGAAAAACTGGAGAAATTAAAACTTGCAAGTGTCATATGATTAAAGCACTACAGATTTAATGACATTGTCATAATGTCAAAAAAGAAACACTGCTGTCTGGGAACCAAGACAGTCTTGTATGCTTTTTTGTTAGCAAATGAACACATTTCATTACATTCAGACTGAGTAATTGGACAGTGTCATGGTTTAACCCCAGATGGCAACTCGGCTCCACCCAGCTGCTCACTCACTCCCCCCGGTGGTCCAGGGGACAGAATCAGAAGAATAAAAGTGAGACAAGTCGTGGGTTGAGATAAAGGTAAAACAAAAGCTGTACACGCAAGCAAAGCAAAACGAGGAATTCCTTCCCCACTTCCCACGGGCAGGCAGGAGCTCAGCCATCTCCAGGGAAGCAGGGCTGCACCACGCACAACGGTGACTTGGGAAGACAAACGCCATCACTCCCAACGTCCCCCCTTCCTCCTCGCCCGCCCCAGCTTTATATGCTGAGCATGACGCCGTACGGTATGGGACACCCCTGTGGGCAGTGGGGTCAGCTGTCCCCGCTGTGTCCCCTCCCACCTTCCCGTGCCCCTCAGCCTGCTTGCTGGTGGGGTGAGCGGCAGAAAAGGCCTTGACTCTGTGTGAGCACTGCTCAGCAATAACAAAAACGTTCCTGTGTTATCAACACTGTTTCCAGCACAAATCCAAAACACAGCCCCATACTAGCTGCTATGACGAAAATTAACTCCATCCCAGCCAAAACCAGCACATACAGATTTACTATACAAAATTAAAAAATAATGCTTCCTTTTTTTTTATTTAACATGGGAGTCATATTGTCGAATATGTAGAATCTGCTCTATTCTGATGAATATATACATGCAGTCTTAATGCTTCACTACATGATAGTGGCTATTCCTGGGACTCCTCCAAAACCAAATTGTTAATGATGTGTGCTTTTCCATTAATCTCTTAAATGTTAGTTTGCATGAAGTAAAGGAGTTTAATGCATGTTTTATTCAAAATAATCATTGAATCTGAATGGGTCTTATCTGATGTGGCCATGAATCTTTCACAATTAAATACACGAGAAAATTTTATCGCTGTACACAGCAGATTAGTCCCATATGTCTCATGAACAGACATGAATTGGCAAATACGTGTGTGAAGCACTGGAAATGTCTTGCAAATCAATACAAGTGAATAGGCAGTTGAAATATTTAGGCTAAAGAAAACCTACATCTGCTGTATGTGAAAACAACTCAAGTTTAAAAATTTGAAGATGCTCCAAAGTTTGTTGCTGAAATTAAACAATTGAAGTATCTTGGAAGTGGGATCATGAATGCCACTGAGGGCACGCAGGTGTTTGCAGCATGCTAAGGTTGAGCAATTAATAGTCGTGTTGTAACAGGATGTCACTTGTTTCAGGTTATTTAATAGGTAGAAGCCGCTAGTAATTCGGTCCAATTTTGTTGTAATAAAGCTATTGGCTAATTCACATGACATCACAGTGTTAGCAGCTTTATTATCAGAAAGTAAATATGTATCTCTCAGTTAATGCTTTTTTTTTTTTTTCTGATGTACTTTGATTACAGAACGTTATTGGATGGTACAGATTTAGGAGAAACACTCAACAGCAAATGTCATATAGAGAGCACATCATTCACAAACAGCTGACACACATTCTTGGAGTGCCTGATCTTGTCTTCCTTCTCTTCAGCTTCATTTCCACTGCAAATAACTCAACACATGCTTTAGAATATGTGCTTTTTAGACCAAACAGAAGGTAAACAATCTCTGTATATGAACTAATCCTCTCTTTTTTTTTTTTTTTAATTCCTTTTATTGCTAAGAAGTTTGTACAATTACATAGAAAGACGACTTTGTGTTTGTCAAATGATGTCTTGGTGTACAATTGTTAGTGATGACAGCTTTTTTTTTTTTCTGTGCAATTAATTATAAATTGAAGTTTTGTGGTGAACAAAAGTTCTTTTCGGTCTTTAAATCTTCAGACAACGAAACCAGTATACATTAAGAGAAATCATGTCAGTACTATGTTTCCTGTAACAGACCTGAATGTAGCTTCACCCTTCTTTTATCTGTGGTAGTTTGAATGCATAACTAAAAGGCTCTAAGAGGTACAGAGATAGGTCCATCTCAAGGAAGTTTTTGATCATGTGTCCATTTTGAACACAACTTCTAATTGAGTGGTCAAGCATTGGAACACGCTGCCCAGGGAGGTGGTGGAGTCAGTATCACTGGAAGTGTTCAAAAAACGTGTAGACGTGGCACTTGGGGACATGGTTTAGTGGGCATGGTGGTGTTGGGTTGATGGTTGGACTTGATGATCTTAAAGGTCTTTTCCGACCTTAATGATTCTGTGGTTCTGTAATATTTATCAGCTTTTATAATAAACTAACCTAGAAGCTTTAAAATTAGAGGAGTTGGGATCATCAGAGAGATGGGATAATATTGAGACTATTATAAATAATCTTTGGAATATGAATTAAGAAGTCTGTCTAAACTTTCTCTACAGGTATAATCAAAGGGTGTCACTTACTATTCCTAATCTAGGCAACACTAGTCAACAGGAATACAAAGTTTCTTCAGTGCCAAATACTTCTCAGAATTATGCCAAAGTTATTAAGGAACACGGGTAAGGATTTTTCCTTTGCAAATGAAGTACAGTCATCAAGCTCTACGTTCTTTACCTTCCAAAGAATAGTACAAATATGCATTTCAAGCAGGAGACACCTACTTCTGGAGGAGAATGGTTGGTTCCTAGGGTGCTTTTTCTGCTTAAAATCAAATCTTTTAGAAAAGCAAAGGGAACTGTGCACTAATGAGAAAACCAGAGTTAGTATGGCCAGTTGGTGCTGTGGGCCTTCTTACGGTGTTTTTTTTTTTTTTTCCCAATGCATTTTGTGCACAAGCTTGCTTTAAATCTTGAACTCTGATTTGGAAGTGTTGAAGTCTTGTTGGTTTTTTAAGTCATTTTAATTAAATGCTGTAAATGCAAAGTAGCTCTTCTGACTGTTAACAATGAAATTATACAAGCTTAAAGATTTCTGTATGAGTTTAATCTCATTTAAATGGGGCTTTGTGGTGCCGGAAGAAATTTTGGTATTGAATATGCTGCTGTCCAAAGTTTGGTTCTTGAGAGTATAGAAAATCTTTAGCAATATAAAATAAAGTGCATTTTAGAAGTAGTCATTAACTGCTTAACAGCAATTCAAAGACTGCATGAGCTAGAAACTTGTGTTGTCTTTTCCAACTAATAATTTCTCTTTTTTTTTTTTAGTACTGATTTTTTTGACAAAGATGGAGTGATGAAAGACATCAGGGCTATATATCAGGTTTATAATGCACTTCAGGAAAAAGTACAGGTAACTTCCTTTACTTGTTTTTGATCAGTTTGTATGTGGCATCTTTTGTTTGTCCTTTGCTTAAACCAGGAGTGCAGGAAACGGAGATTTTTTAGAGCTCGTGAACAATTTATTATGAACTGTAGGAAAAAAAGTCTGACTTTATTTAATAATGTATCAGTTTCTAGCTAGTGTGTGCATTTGCAGTGGCTGCTGTAAAAGTGGTTGATAGGAATATCATCAATTCTTTCTTTTTTGCAAGTAAGAATGATTTAATGCTTGGTGATTTCTGGGAGATGTTAGCTATTTTTAAGAGTATGTGTTGAAGAAAAGCCTTGCTGAAGGCTGTAGGGATTTGCACAGGTTTGAAGGCTTGCCTGTGTGAGTTTAAAAATTACTCCTGGCTCTTGGTATGTACCATGCAGCAAAGAGCTCCATCTGTTAGTTAAAACTTGTGAATGTTTTGTGTAGAGCATGAGTGAATTCTGCTCCAAATGTGGCAAAGCATCTGAAAGTGCCTTGTGTGTCAAATCTACTAAATGTAAGCTTGTCAATTCACAGCTTGTCCTATGTGAAGAGCAGCGTAGCTGTGCTGCCTCAGGAGCACACACATCTGCTAATTGTGCTGTAGTCACAGCTTATTTCCAGGCTTTCCCCTTACATCTGCCCTGGAGGGATTTGTGTCTCTGCTCCAGCTTAGCTTTGCTGGTTGGCACGTAGAGAGCAAGGCAGTAATCACTCCAGTCATCCCTGACCCTGCTTGCACAGGAGAACTGCTATTTCTCGGTGGAGGTTGCTACCTTCTAACCGCCTTGTAAGGTGGGTAGCTCTCATCAGGAAGGCAGACTACTTCATGCTGGCTTCAGGAGACATGAAAATTTATTTTCAGAGGTCTATCCCATTAGCTAATTCTGTAACACTGTTTTTGCCAAGAGTGCATATATCCTTTCGTGCTCTTGCTGTGGTTTCAATTAGTGTCTGGAAAAATGGACAATGTAACATCATCAAGGGAGTTGTCTTCCTACCTGTTAGAAGTATGACTTTGTTGTATTTCACCATGTAAATCATGCTGCTCTACGTTGTCTACAGAGCTTAAAAGTAACTTAGGTGTTAGCTAACTTGAGGAACTTTTATCTTTAAAGTGAATTTTTCACAGAGAATGTTACAGGACTGGAAATAAGTTTTCCAGTAAAGCAGCTGAGACATGTATTTGAATTACTCACCGATTAGTTGGGAGGGGAGGGTTTAAACTTTATAAACATCTAAAAATTAGATACAGAACTGAAAGCATAGCTAATGTTTTTCAACTTTGTAGCTAAGATCACTAATAGTAACCTTTCGGAGAAGAAGCAGTAAATGGCTAGTCACCTACTAGTGAGTTTAAGACTCATCAGTGCTTTTAGACTTGTGACTCTGCAAAACTGATTGTCTTTAATGATAATGACCAATACTTAATTTCTGCAGAAGTGAACAATATCCAGTATAACATGTTTAGGTTAAAAAATAAATCAATATTATCCAGAACTATTTTTAAACTTAGATTCTTCTGTGAAAGTTTCACCTTCATTTCCTACCCAGTGTAGGGAGATATTGTTGAAAAATCCATGGGCCTTGTTTGTTTAATAGGAGTATTGGGAGATCAGCTTGGGATGACTTGTCTTGAGTCAACTGTTTCATATCCCAATTCAAATTTGGTCTAGTACAAAAAGCATGCACCATTATGCTACATTTTAAAATCATGCTACTATAGTATCATTATTATGCTAACAGTGTATTTAAAATTAAAAATGAAGAAAAAAAAGAAAAGAAACAAAAAGGGGCAAGTCTCTCCGACCAAGTAGGAATAACTAACTTTGGATCCCATTACAAATCTTCCTATAATGATGAATTATTTGGAAATGATTTTCCTATCTTGCAGCAGTTGGGAATTGGCAACAGCCAGTAAAGAAAATGATCTTCAGGTTGAGTATTATGCTCTGATGTAGCTAACTCTTGCTCCTAGTTTTGTGCTTTTCATGGCTTCTTGTCTGGTAGTAGCTTTATTAACATTGTCATGGAAGTCCTTGCTGTATGTTTGCAAAATCTTAGCATATCTTATGTTTTTCTCCTAGGCAGTATGTATAGATGTAGAAAAAAGTGAACGTGTTGTTGAATCTTTTCAAGCTGATGTAAACAAGTTAAAAAGGCAAATTGCACAAAAGAAAAATGAAAAAGAACAAGAAATAAGTAAGTTTCCTTTTAATTTTCTATTTCAGAAGCAGATGCTGTAAGGACAGAACACTTTGTGGGTTTATTTTGAGTTGTTTTCCTGATAGCTCATAGCAAAAGAAAAAAAAAATCACATTGGGAAGGGTATATGATGGATATATGTTGAATGACACCTGAACTGTGAAAGTACGTGTACTGCAGATATTTTAGTAGGAGTCATCGGAAGGGTATATGATGGATATATGTTGAATGATACCTGAACTGTGAAAGTACATGTACTGCAGATATTTTAGTAGGAGTCATTCAATTTTAGCAAACTTAAAACATAGGAGAGA